GCAGCAATTTAAATCTATAAAATACATGTATAATTTGATATATACTTTCTAGATTATACTCCATGAATATGTTATTTTCAACTTTCCCCAATATATTTCCAGTGACGACGTGATTTCTTCCCAATTATATACGAGTGCTCGCTGGCCTTTTTCAAAATCACGTTTATTCACTGATTTAATTTAAACAATGAAAGATCAAACTATTAACAAATAAAATATTGTTTGAATAGCTAAGACACACCAGTGTATAATTATTATAAGCAGATTTTGTACTCAATAATCGTCGTCATCTCATAACTGATTCTACTCTAAATACAAGTATTTGTATATCAATTCAATTTTGTGAAGATGTATCCAATAATGTCAATCTTTTCTGTTAGCTCAGTCTTATATGAATAACTGTTGCTGTTAAGCATTGTCTTAACACTGGCAATTACAATTTGTCACTTTCAATGTCTCCTAACCAATGGCCAATAGCCATAATTTTGCACTAAGAATTTAAATAATTTACCATATAAACAAAGCTAAAGTAAAAAAAATGAAACACTTTAAAAAACCTCAAAAGTTTGCTATATGTTTTGTGGACTATGAATTGTTATTATAAATACAAAAAATTATGCAAAATTATGTACCTTGCGCAGCAGGTTTTTACTAATCTAGTTTAACAGTAAGAATTGGAGGTCTTCCAGGTATGGGAAGTCGTGTAACACTTGACCTTTCTTTAATATTAAGTCTATTGACTAAATCATACACTGTAGATTTTGGAAAACCTGTTAAACGTATGGTTTTAGCAGGTTTCTGAATATTATTTGCCCAAAGCTGGCTTACTATTACAACTGTTCTTTGTACTTCAAACTTTGAACCAGTTGACTTTTTTTTTTGTTTTTTCACTAACAGACGCGAAAACAGACAGCAAACAAGTTAGTGTTAATGCGTTTGGTTATGATGCACGATAATTTAATACCAATTTTGTATTAGTCCAAAATTGGTTATACTACGTGACTTTTTCTGCACCGGACCGGATCAAAATTCCGGATATTTATGACGACTACTGTATGTGACACTAATTACGAACTAATAAACCCTAGTGATCCTAATTTGGATTATTTTGCTGAATTTCAGCAAATTATTTATAATACTGTCCGTTCTCTTTGTTCATCGGCGTATTCCGCAGCTACTACGTTCGTTACACCGGAATTTGGAAATGCCGCAGCCTTCGTAGATCATTCGTACCACAGAGCGGAAATCACGGAAGGTTATCCCTCGGATCTGACAACACACATTTTTATAGATTACTGCATTATTATTATCATGCGCAAATACACACAATAAATAAATACGATTGTACAACTTCTAAAAATAATTTCCTTAAAATTGTCAGTCAATGAGTGATTGGAGAAAAATGTATGATGTACGTTCTTTTTTTCCCCTATATGCAGGAATCAGATTTGCGTTTCAAATTCCGCGCTCAAGATTATTAAACAATACACATTTTTTATCCAGGATGCAAACTACGATCTCTGAACAACAACTAATAATGGGTCATAATTTTGTAATGTGAAAATCTCAAAATTTCTATTAAAAGCAGTTATAATATGCTAAACAATTTTGTTGCAAATTTATTCAAAGTAAAATGATACATTTATACGTCAGCATAAATAAGAAACAGTTACAAAATCGAGGAAATTAGGATCACTAGTTCTGCAGTGAATAGAAGGAGTGGCAATAATTTGACCCCATGGTACAGTAGTCGCAAAGCTATCGCCATTAACGTTACATCCTAGATTATACCAACCACCGAAACCTCTTCCTTCACAACAAACAAGAATTCCAGTAGCAGCGCTTACGGTAAGAGAATATGTAATTTGGGCATTACTGTCTGCTCCCGTAACTCCACCGCCAGTAGAATCGCAATCGGGACCATAGTTTCCGGTTGGAGGAGCATAGCAATTGCTTGCGCAACAATTAGATCCGCTGTATATTATTAATAATAGTTATTTGTTAGAAATTAAACACAAGTACAAGTTATTTATAAATATATGTAAATTAACCTATGGAATACATTAATGCAATCGCGCTTAGTCAAAGAGCTCATTTTCTCAGTAAACCCTACAAAAAGAGACAAATTAACCAAATATTTATTTCGCAAAAAAAAATATACACGTTTTCGCAGAAAATTTACCGGGAATTGCTGAAGCATTTATCGTTAAAATAACAAGGATAAAAACTAACAAAATTGAAGAAGGCATTGCTGAATAGCTTTGTCGAGAAAAAAGCGACAAGTCCTATCTTTATATATAGCGGTACAATTACGAATAAGACGGAATTATACTGATTACATAATAGTAAGCATGTCTTAATCATGAAATTTATCCGCCATCCGACAGGTAACACACATCTGAGTTACACACATTGGGGGTCTTACGTGAGTAGTTTGACAAACATAGGGCAAGCCCCTTATAAAATTTACGTAAGGAGCTTTTTTTCT